CTCTAAGGCAAGCATTTGTGGCATCGTTCAGCTTTTGGTGCAAATCTCATAGTCGGTTCTCCAAGATCTCCTTAAAGGAACTTTCAGATTTTAAATTGCAAAAAGGCATTGTCAAAGCCAGATGCTGTAAACTGAACTGTTTTGTTTATTTGCAGTCAGTTAAGTGTTACAGGAGGGGAAAGCCTGAAAGAAAATAGCCCTGGCAAGGAGACCCCAGAAAAGAAGATAACTCCACTGAGTGTATGTATGTTTCTCCCATGCTTACATACATTAGGATAGAAACAGGCAGTAGCCAAAGTACCTCTGGATAGAAGAATGAACTAATCTTTGTTAATAGGTATCTAATAGTTTCTAGTATTTTTATTGCATCGATATATGTCTTTACCTAGGGAGCCCTTGGGTTTCTCACTTAAGTATGCATTCCCATCCTTCTCACATCTTTAGTGAGTACTGGGGGAGATGTTACTTGTTAATGTTCTATTTTGCAGATTCAAAATCTCAATATTTTGAAACCATTTTCGTGTTTTCCATTTGACTCTGTCCATTGGCAACTAGAAACATCATTGAGCACTAAGAATTCAGTATGCTACAGAGTATTCTAATATACTTATCTTATAATCTAACTTTTTGAGACAGGACCCTCACTGCATAGCAGAAGCTAGCTTTAAACTCACAATTCTGCCTCAGCCCACCAGTGTTTAGGAGATGGCAGTTTCACATATGACATTTAAAAAAACAAATTTGATACTATATTTTAACAGTATATGGTGAAGTATTCTGTGTAGATGATTTAAATATTCAAAATAGTATATAAAACTTTTTTCAAATTGCTGTATATTTCTTTCTATGCCTTAAAAACATTTTACAACTTATACCTTGTTATTAAATAGTTGAGTATTTATATTTTAGTGTCTTCATAATGTATATCTAATAGATATACCAAAATGTGTTTGATTATTTTTTGGAGATTAGGAGACCAAGTTTCCAATGTTTTTGTGGGCATTGATAGACACACTTCTACAGGAATTCATGTGCATCTCAGGCTGTAAATTAAGATAAATACTTTACATTAGGCCAAAGGGTGGATGTGTTGGACACTTTGTGACTCATGTTGGCAAATTGGCACATTCTTACTCAAAATGATGAAAGATGAAATGCTGCATGTTATTTTATTTTCCATTTCTTTGAATGCTTATGAAGTTGGTTCTTTTTTTTCTCATTATTGTCCATTTGTATTTCTTCTGATGTGAAATATCTGTTCATTATATACTGAAGATAGTTTTACACACATAGCAAATATTTTCACTGACTTATGAGTCTTTAATTTTATTATTTTGGACTTTATATCATTTTTTCTCTTGATTTATTTTGCTCTTTATTTAAAGGGTTAGGAAAAGTCCTTCCTTCCTAGGGGGTCAGAAAAATACTCACCTTCTGTTTACTATTTTGTTTTATAATTGTGAGTTGATTATTGCTAGTTCCTCATGTTTATTAATAGTAATTAATTATTTTTTGATTTAATATTAAAAGGCAGATTATGTGTGAACAATATTCTTATATATCCATGAAATTAGTACACAAACTTGACACCCATTTTTCAAAACAAACCAAATATCAAAAAAAATTAAATTAAAATATCAATCTCACAAATTGTACTCTATCTTTAATTCTTATTCCACATAGGAGTCAGTGACAAATGACTTCAAGATTGACAGTTGTTCATCAAGTAGTGAACTAGCTTCAGGTAAGACTAACAGACAGCAGCCTTTTGTCTCGTCTCCAAACATATGCGCTCATTTGTATCTCTTGACATCTCATTTCTGTGGAAGAGATGATGATGTCTTTCCCCTAGTCTAACATGAATCTTCCTGACTGTGTTCTAGACCTCATTCTCAGTGTCTATATGTTTACACCAGTATGTGCAAAGCTGTAGTTGTGACGTGTTACAAAACAGAATGACTTGAAAGTAATTAATTATGCTTAGCTAGAGATATTAGGAAATGCTTCCCTGTGAGGGTGGCAATTGAAGTGAGATCTGAAGGTGAATAGAAATTAGCTATTCAAAAAGATGATAAAGAGAAATCCATGCAAAAGAAACAGTATGAACAGAGGTCTTCAAGCAGGCCTTGCTGGCACCCAGAGCTGGAGGAGTCATGCTGGACCTGCTGCTGACACCAGGGCCAGAGAAAGTAAGCTCAGGCCAGAGGCAGGGACACCTACC